TTTTCATGATTTACAGTTTGAATACATATTCAGTTTGACACTAGCTATTTTCTATAAACTTAATTCATTTATAATATGTTTTATCAAATTTTCAAGTACTTTTTAAAGAATTTTTGTTATGTGAAGCTACAGATAGCTGATGTTCAAAAAAAGAAAACAAAAGGTCTCAAGAAAGAATGAGACAAATATCATTATCATGTTTACAACGTGATCAAGTTGAACGAAAGTCTTATCACGAATTAAAATATTCATTATTTTTGGAGAAAATGAATAGTCTAGAGCTAAAGAATATTGAATAGAAATAGAACAATATACATGATGTATACGTATACATACATCAAAGGATACAATTAATCTATCAAAATGTAATTAAAAAAAAAATGTGTTGTGCTGTTATGCCGCGGCATGAGAACGGCAGGGCGGCATAGCGGCTGAACGGCGGAGCGGTATGAGAACGGCAGAGAGGCATAGCGACAGAGCGGCATAGCGTCCGAGCAGCTGAACGGCAGAGTGGCCGGCCGAACGGCAAACATTTTGAAATGTTCCCTAAGGTTGGTGTATTCCCTTTGGGGGTACGACGACCTTACTACGCTTGCATTAAGTCGTGAATTTTCTATGCGTGATTATTTATTTAAATATTGGATAAGGTTTCAAAATCATTTTGATACGGCCCCTGAAGCAGACACTTACAGGCAAACGTTAACTGCTTACTTCATTGCGAAATCTCCGTTTAAAACGTATTACAGTAGTATGAACTTTAGGAAAAATAGTCGTTTCCCTAAAAGACTTGCTAAACGTGCAAAACATATATATTTGGATATAATATCTTTCATTGATGTTCATAGAGAACAATATGGATTCTTTAAAAAATCAAGCTTAACTCTAGAGTATTTTATTTTAAAATATTTCTGTGTTAAACCACCGTAAATAAATATATAAGCAAATAGGATAAAGATTTAAAATCTGATCTTTATGGGTAGAATGACTCTTTTTTTTGTTTTTCTTTAAACATATATCCTTGTAATGTGCGTATAGATACATGTTTTTGTCAAATGTTAACCTTTATGGAACAATAAACTGAATGTTAAAAAAAAAAAGATGGTTTTTCCAAAATTAATGGATCGATTTTCATTTCAAATAAGACACTATCTAATGAATTATCACCTGCAAACATTAATGCAATTTGACGATCTTCTGATGTTGAAAGAAAACCATTTGGTGATATAGAATTTCCAATTGAATTTTGTAACTTTTCTAATTCTTGTTTACATATTCTTTGTCCATGATACAATTTAATTATATTGTTTTTAGACAATAATAATAAATATTCTTTGCTTTCATCTTTTATTTGTTGATCTAAATCAATAAAATAATATCGATCGAATTTCGATGATTATTTTCAAATAAGTAAAAGTGTAATTCTTGTTTTGAAATAAAATAAACACGACTTTCAATCGACTTTAATAAGGAATTTCGTTCATTAAAAAACGTATGTTTTTCTGAATTTAAACGAAAATCAATGTTACATAAACGATCATTGCTTGAATAGACGAATATTGAATCGATTGTATTCAATGAAGAAACATCATTCAAAAATTTAATTGCTGGCAAACATTTTGAAAGAATTAAAATTATTTTTTCATTATCAATTGCTTTTATATAATCTTGAAAAAGTTGACGAATGCTATATAATAGAACACAATAATTTAATTGATGAAATCTATCCAATGTTTAAATTAAATTGTTTGAGTCGTCAATATGTTCATTTAACCAAATTAAGATTATGCCTGCTTTATTTTCACCAATTTCATCGACACTACAATCACAACGAAATTTTTCATTTATCGATTCGATACAATCCACCTGCTTTTTTTCAATTTCCATCTAGAATCAAAGATTAAAACGAGCACTCTTCGTGGTATCTATTACTCCTACTCTGAGTCAAATTTGAAAAACAGGTTCTAGAAAATTCTATAGGAAAACAATATTAGTTCCTATGATAATTTCTTAATTTATTTAAACTTATTTATTGGCATTAATTAGTACAATTCGTCTCAATGAAAATTCGTTGCATATATACAAGAGAGTACATTAATTGAATTAAATGATTTACCGTAGACTGTTATTCAATCATCACCATAATAAATGTTTTCTTTTGTAGAAGAATAAATCTTGATAGTAAAGTTTTTTTCAAAAAATTATGGATGTCTCAACTCAAAGTTCCTATTGTTCATGTTGGAACTAGCCAGAAGTTTCATTTAGTTTCAAATAAAATTCAACAAATCTAAATTAAAAATCAATTAACTTTATCCGTCATGTGTGAATTTAACTCAAGTTTTTCGAAATAAATCATTCATGATTCCTAAACTTAAATGTTCTACGTATTAAAAATACTTTTAAAAAAATCATTGGTTAGTACAGGCCTTAGAAAAAAAACTATTGTTAGTTTCAGAAAGCACGACATACAAAATTTTCAATTGGAATATCCTCCATAAACTCAACAACAATTTGAATCAGCTTTTCCTAAGATTTTTCTAATTCAAGTTCAATCTTTTTAAATAAATTTTACATTTCTCATCTTAAAAAACTATTCTTTAAAACTTGGCTGCGAAAAATTACATCAAAAGATAATTGTTATCAAATTTTTTACAGTTATTTTCCTAAATTTTCAGAACATCAAAAACTTAGGGCCTGTTTCGAAATTTTTAAAAAATTATTTGCTTTGCACCTCGAATACTTTTGTAAATCACAGAAATTTCCATAGAAAGTATAGAAATCGTCTTACGTTTTAAGAGAGAGCGAATTTCATCTTGATTTCTTCTTGGTTTTTTTTTATCCATGTCAAGCCTGAAATTGTGAGTCAATCATTGAATATGTTACATTAAATATTCAGAAATATATCTATTGACGGAAACATGCCACGCGTCTCCTTTGTAGCTAACACAAAAACATGTATCCACGTACTATCGATAAGATAATTTATAAAACTAACACAAATGGTATATATCCAGAGTTAAATCAATATGAAGTAGACTAGAAAGTAACTCAAATTCGAATATATTCTTTCATAAATCTTCGAGCTCATTTTATCATTAGGCGTATTATGTTAGAACAACAACGAAGGAATCAAAAGTTCGATAATGCGCTTGAAATAAAGTATACTATAACTTACTGTAATAGAAAATCGTGGAAACCAATGCTTGTGAATCATTACAGAACAACATAAGTCTTCTTAAATGCTAATTATCTAATGATAATAGGTTCGTAGCTTCACCACTGGGAAATTCTTTCACAAGAAATCATCGTCTGCAGTTATAATAATCGATAGCTAACAAATACATATACATGTGAAACAAATTAAAGCCCATGAATAAGCACTTACTATGTTTTACTCAAATAGTGAGGAAATCGATAAAATAGATAGATCGAGCTTTGATTTTCATCGTTATGTAGTCAAGACCAAGGCAAATGATTACAAATAAGAAACAAGGTTCTCAAGTATATCTAAACTAGTTTTCTATAAGGATCTTTCGAAGAACGCCATACTAGTCTGGAACGCTACAATAGATCTTTACTACGTGAGCTCATTTTTTTGACCAACCTAGACTCTTTTCTTTAAAGCCACATAAGCTATAGGTTCTCTGATTTTCTATTCGACTGTTAGATCTCATGTACTCGACCAAACCTACATTCAAACCTGTTTATTTCATGTAGACTCTTGCTAGGTGACTATTTTAAAAATAAAGCCAACCCGTATCAGTATTTTGTACTATTCAAATGCAGAAAACTCCCTTCAAGTAGTATGGGGCGTATGGTGTAGTGGAAGCGTTCGAGTCTACGGAACTCGGAACCCTGGTTCGATTCTAGGTACGATCATTTACTTCGTTTTTACTTCACTTTTTCTCCATAATAACTTCCAAAATTATGATACAATAGAAAAAAAAAGCAGAAAGGAAAAAAAGAAAGGTATATATTCTTTGTTGCAAACTATAAGTTGTCAGTGTTATTCAACTGAGCTGAGAATGGTCTCGTATATTTCTTGGTGACAATCTTCTTCAGCTCATGATTGTTGGATGATCGGTTCAGTTTCTTGCATAAATGATTGCCATTCATAATTTCTCTGTTGAGTAACTCACTTTGGAACTCAGAAACTTAACAAAAACGAAGACGCATGAGAAATTCAGTTGAAATATAGATCCGTTTCGACATTGGGTGTAGGTGTCCTCACCATAACTATAAATACACAGGCCCAAATTCGAGATATCCATGAAAATTAAGTTCTAATATTTCTCTTTATATCTATTAATTAGATCTTCATTCTTCAAATGCAATTTTACAAATATTTTTAAAAAAATTTGTTTAAGATAAAACTTCGTTACCGATATGTTACATTCACAATAAACATTCACTAATCTGTAGAAAACGGCTCCAGTTCGAGGATTGATTAGAAATATGATCGGTTTTGTGTTTCTTTCATATTCAACGAACATATGGAGCACTAACATGCCAAAATTCTCCATAAAAGAATGCGCTTATCAAGGGTGTGGGTGTAGATGTAAAGGTGACGAGAAGACCTACATCCACATCCACACCGTCTGTTGTCATGCCATCACGTTGCTGTCTCAGAGATAAAAAAACATAATAATATGAGAGAAAAGAATCTCTAATAATAGGAACAAGGATTTATTTGATTATTTATAAACATAAGAAAGAAAAGTCAAAAATATATTATAATATTTCACGCTTATTAATGTCGTATGTTGTCGTCTTTTGAAAAATCAATTTCCATTGTCGTTTGATTAACATTATTTGTAAATGATAGAAGCCAACTTGTTCTTAAATCGGATTTATTCCATTGAGAATGAAATTTAATTGTCAGAATAATTTTAAATGTTCCCCTAAACAAAATCAACCATTATTCTAATAAACCTTGTTGGTTTCTTTTCTTAGCTTACTATTCCGTTCTTGTCAGAAAGAATGAAGGTTTATCAAGAATGAGTTGAGATGGTACAAATGTTGAATGTAAATTAATTATGATTCGTTTAATATATTTGTCAATATCATCCCGATGGTCATCATCAAATTTAACAAAAAAAATGTCCATTCATGGTTTTCTGTGCCAAAATCATTATCAAATGAATAACGTCGATGAGTATTTCTAATAACTTAAACATTTTTTTAATAATTTGCTTTTGTTGTTTTCCAGTTCCTGTTTGTCTTATGTCACATTGCTCATATTGTCGTTCAGAATGTGGTTGATATCTTTTTTCAGTTTGTTTTCGAAATAAACAATGAAGAGTTGAAGCGCTTTTTTAATGCTTTTGATAACCAGTAAAATAGAAAACACTTAAAACCACTTTCCAAACATGACTTTGTAAATAACACGTGAAAAGCTCATTTGCTTTTAATAAAACGTTTTACTGACACTTTCTTGCTTAGAGTTCTAGAAGCAGTTAAAAATTCAACTCAGTGCATCTTTCTGTTATGGAGAAATTTACAGTTTATGATGAAATATAAAAAGATATTATTCATTAAATTAACGTTGTTTACAGTGTATTTACATTGAATGAAGTCGCACCTTAGCTAATCTTTACTAAAGTGTTGGGAAACTTTTGTTGCATAACACAAGTAAAGTTCGTCGCTTCGACTCGCTTAGCACTCGACTGAACAAGATATCCTATTCAATTTTTTCACAGAACATGTAGTAAAAGAAGTTCACAACAGTTGCAGAATAATGCAGAGTAGTTGTTGAAAATTCTACTAGAAGTTTGTATAAATCTTACAATATTCGTCGATAATCGTGTTTAACATAGAGTTCTCTAGGAAAGTAGGAACTCCATGGAACCTCTGACTGAAAATAAATCATATTATATCTGAACTCTGATTAAAGTATCAGATACACAACAAGCTCTTATTCAAAGTAATGATAAGACTAGACAGGTAATTTGAATATATCAGTATAAATTCTGATACTTGAATTAATACAAAGAAAAACATATACCAAATGAAACACTTTGATTTCATTCATGTTCACTACTGATACAACAAATATAAATTCTTTCAGTAATGTCTGTGTTCCGATGAACTATTCAGTTATTCTATTCAATCATAAAAATCATTTCTCATCCTTAACCTGGCATAGTTTTTTCGATTTTTTGTATTTGATGTTCCTTATTCAGATCCATTTTACCACAACTGTTGACTTTTATTTAACGGATTCCAACACTTCGATTCGGCACTTCTGCAGACAAGCCAGTGCAGCAGCCAGTCGCTCATCGGCGTCCCTCTGGGGCGCAGCTTGCGGCTGGCTGCTACCACCTTTGATATTATTCAACCATAAGGTAACTCATTTCACCTAAACCCTATAAAATGTCATATTACTATTACTTGAAAAACCTTTGAGATTTACAACATGATGACTCAAGATCGGCTACTCGGAACCAACACATTCTTATTGTTTATTCTTAATTTCTTCGATACCATTGTTCAGCCAATAAGTTAGAGTTTTATTGGAGCTATTCATTTAACATATCTTAATTGATTATTCTTCATAAATGGAGGGTTTGCATTGTTATTTTCTTAAGCTACATTAGAAGGTCTTTACAATACTTAGGGCATACTATAAATAGTGGCAGAGGTTCATGAAAATCTTATACAAAGCTTTCAGAAATTTTCTTTTTTTACCTGCTGGTAGAGTAAAAAAAAGCTCTATCATCCTATGTTATTTGATCACTATTTGTATAATATTATAGTGATAAAAATCTCAAAAAGCATGTTTTGCCACGGGATTTCTCCACAATTTTGGCACATATCGTTTTAAATATGTCCTTTTGCATTGATTTTTTTTGTTCTCTTCCTATCTTTTCTTTATTCTTTATTTCTTATCCATTTTAATACGTAGCCCTCTATGTATAACAATACAAAATAACTGGACAATAGAACAGAAAAAAAAGGAAGCAGTAAAGTCAGTTTTCATTTCATCAAATGTTCAAAATAATCTCCTTCGTTGTCTACACACAGGCGCATTTGCTGAATCCATTTATCAAACGTCTTTTTATATTCTTGTTTACTCAAAAAATTCATGAATTCCGTTATTGTATTGCACAATGATTCAGTATCATTTTGATCATCTGTATTTCGTTTGATAAGATCGAATAACCAAAAATCGCATGGTGCCAAATCTGATGAATTAGGTGGATGTGGTATTGTTATCACACCATCTGATCTTAGATAGTCTAATACAGCTTTGTGGACGTGCGATTTGCTATTGTCATGATGAATTTTAATTGATCGAGTGCCTGATAAAGGTCGTTACCTCTTGATTTCATCAATGACATGTTTTAGATAATTTTCGATATAGTATTCATGATGAATAGTTTGTCCAGATTCAACACGATGGATTAAGACGGGACCGGTCGACTTGAAAAAGATGCGCATTCATTTTTTTGGAGCATAGTAATTTTGTCGTACTACTGTGGGTAGAGGATCATCTTTCGCCACCCATGCACCATTGGACGCTTTTCGACCGGTTTGTTGATGAAAAAACCATGATTAATCTCTTGTCACCACATCATATAAACGCCATGTATCTTGTTCAAACTTTTCTAAATTCTCTTTGCAAATCCGGACTCTTTCTGCTCGTTGAGTAGGGGTCAGATTTTTCGGTATATAGCGAGCAGTAATTTTTTTAAGGTTCAGATGGTCAGAAATGATTCTCTGAACGGTACCATGACTTAAATCGCTTTGCATTTCTATCTCTTCTACTGTAATATGAGGATTATCACTAATGAGACTACGAACATGCTCTATATTTTCATCTGTAGCTTCAGTAACGGGTCTACCAGGTCGTGCCTGATCTTCCACATCTTCCCGACCTTCACGAAAACATTTAGTCCATCTTTGAACCGTTCTAAGGGAAGGCGCTTCATCACCAAGAACAGAAGCTAGTTCTTCATAAATAATTCTTGCTTCAATATTGAGTACAGTGCGAACTTTAATGTAAAAGCGGAAGTTTTCTTTACTCATCTGAAGCAGAGTGAATAGTGCGACGTATTTAAGTAATTTCACTTAACTTACTTGAAAGCTATGAATAATAGAATATAATTGCGTCGTACAAACGAAACTTGTGTCTTAATATGTGTATATGCAAACTGCTACGCATTAAAATAGATAAGAAATAAAGAATAAAGAAAAGATAGAAAGAGAAAAAAAAATCAATGCAAAAGGACATATTTAAAACGATATGTGCCAAAATTGTGGAGAAATCCCGTGGCAAAACATACTTTTTGAGATTTTTATCACTATAATATTATACAAATAGTGATCAAATAGCATAGGATGATAGAGTTTTTTTTACTCTACCATCAGGTAAAAAAAGAAAATTTCTGAAAGCTTTGTATAAGATTTTCATGAACCTCCGCCACTATTTATGGTATGCCCTAAGCAGTAGTCGCTCGTTGCTGACTAATATCTCCCTCACGCACTATTCATATTATCTTGCTGCATTATTTCAACATATTAATACAATCATTGGCTATTTGGCATTTACTCTATAGTCTCGAACTTCCCTTACAATATTCTTTTAATTTTTCTTCTTTCAACTTGAATTAAGTGTACGCAGAAAAGCTATTCAACTCAGAAACCACCGTGAATAAACAGGGATCACCTAATGTTGTATCCATCGAGATGAGAGTCAGTAGGTTGTAAGCATTGTTTTATCACAACCGGACTTAATGAAACGTCTATCTTCTGAGGCATCACTCCGACTCCTACTTATAACGATACTGTGAAAAGGAAACCGAAAGTAAACAGTAATTGAATATTCTAGATAGACAGAAGGCGTTTCCAAACTTCGAACTCCCTTTTTCCAAATAGTTTTTTTCCAAAAATACCTTCTTTCTTAGGCAATAATTCAGACAGAAAAGTATCATTTTTCCACATAAACAATTATATTTTTAGAGAAGTCCACTTCAGATTCTGATTGCCTACCCCGATTTACTTTCGTCAACCTTAAAAAAAAATTTTCTAAAGTGGAAGTTTTTTTTTACCCCGATGTAAACACACAAACATACGCACACAGTATTTTTTTCCTATGATCCTCCCTAAAGTCGAGGGAATAAACATAGAATATGGTAATAAGTGCCGTTCAGAAATCACTGAATTCTACTATCAGTGTTTCGCCCTAATTTTACGAGAATGTTACAATTGACTCATACTTCTCTCTTTGCCACAATTTCTTCATTTGTTTATTTCTCTCATATTTCTTTTCCGTCTTCATATGCCGTGTGTGGGTGTGGGTGTGGATGTAAGTTTCATTGTTTTCTTACACCTACAGCTACACCCTTAGATGTAGGGCATTTAAACGCATTACAGATGAAAACGTGTCTAAGCACAAAACAGCATTTTTTCCCCACCAGTTTGTGTTTGAATGCGTTTTTATACGAGTTTTTCTTTCATAGGAAACTTTCTCTCTGTCATATAAAAAATAAAATGACGTAGAGTTTTATATTAAAGTGTCAACCTATTTTGAAAATTTTACTTTTCACCAGTGACGAAAACACTTTTCAGTTAAGCGTTTTCTTATGATAAACACTTTTTTTTGACTATATCACTCGAGAATAACTATCAACAGAATATAACAAAATTAATTTTATCTAAGGAAAAACAGTTTCTATTTTGCATGATAATTTCAGATTCTTCATATTCTATTGAATAACAGAAAAAAAGGTTCTTCTATTTTTGAATTACTTTCTTATGAATTATATTTTAATTTCAAAATGAAATGCACTTATGCTTCATTTCTTTACATTGTATTCCTGTAATAACATGCATGACTTAATGATAACTTATTTAAAAATCTAACTGCAGTGCATGCGCTGTTTCTCAACAATGAACGATAAAGCATTCTTACATAGTGAAAACGGGAAAACTATATCAGTTGCAACAAAATAAACGTCAATGCTGTGATAATTAATCAATCTTTTAGAATGCAACAAGAAATTTCAACTACATAGTAGATAGTGCTAATTTAAACAAAGATTTGTTATTTATGAATGACAAAGAATGAATTGCATTGAAACTAAATAATAGTCAATTTTTTTCTTAACAAAAAAAACAATTGTTTATGTCAATCATATTCAATAGGTAATAAACTAGTACTATATATGAATAGAATAATCTTTCACTAAAGATAAAATTCATTGATTTATATAGAAATATGGACAGTGTGCAATCAACTGATTCTGATTCTATCTTGAGAACTAGCACAACATCTGTAAATTAAAGTAAGAACTTTTTGAGAAGCGTAAAAATATTTGATGCATAAAGTCAGTCTAAATAATAGAAAAAAAATGAAGTAATTACCTAAGAGTAGTCAAAGCAAAGGAGTTGAGTAAATAGAAAAAAATTATTCAAAGAAAAATTCGAAATAAATAAAAAATGCAAGTATATATCACAAACTGGAGGTGTAGCTCTCTCACTTGTCACAATAATGATGTTTATCGAGGCATTATATTATATTCAGTTATATCTAAAACAATATTAACGTAAGTTTCTTTTCATTGGTTATACGAGAGGAAAGAAAAAGAGAAATATATCATCAAAAATTGTTATTTCAAAGGAGTCATTTGGAAAATAAGAGAGACAAAAAAAAGCAGCATATAAAGTGAATAACTATTAATAGCAACAGTTCTAATCGTATCTTGCTTTTCTATAGAAGTGAAAAAGAAATAAACTATTCAATAACGTTGATTTCACTTGTAGATTGGTAAGTCATCATAGTAGCAAGATTATACGTTTAAATTTTCGATTATTTAATATATAGTTAAGTTTTGCGTAGCATACTTAATATGTATTTTTCTAGATCAATGATAACTCAAGTTAATACTCATGTCCAATATAAAACCCAATTCATACGCATCATCAAGAATTTGAACCTTTATGATGACCATAATGAATTGAGTCTGAATGATCAAATCTTATATACGCGTGTTTTCATTATCTCAACTGCGATAGCTCTTTTAATTCTACTATCATTTACTGGTATTATTCCTCAAACACGTTTAATCACTGTTTCTTTACCATCTGTCAATGATTTCGAAAATTTAATCAATATTTACGCAACTGGAGTTATGTGTCGTTGTTCTCAAACATCGATTCCTTATTCACGAGCGGTGTCATTGAATCCTCGATTTCATCAAGTTTGCTCAAGTGATTTTGTCAAGGAAGAATGGTTTTCCTCTTTATTCAATGTTAATACAAGCAATTACTATCCTCTTGACTTTCGTTTAATGGCTTCTGCACAGTTTCAAGTTTTATCCATTCTCTGTCAAACATCACGTCGAGCTGTAGTCGATGCCCTTCGTGGATTTCATACTAAAACAATGTTTTCATCAAATGCATTGTCACACGACGAATTCAATAGTTATATAGGCAAGTCTATTGAACAATTCCAGAAAAAAACACTTGAAACTTTCCGTTCATACAATCATTTTATATTATCTTTTATTGACCAACATCGTTTTATATGTGCATTAAGAACAAATTTCTATACGAGAAGTGTTTCTGGTAGTAATATCTCTGTAACTTTTTCTGCCATTTATCCACAACATATCGATCTAACTCAATCGTCATTGATGTCAAATGAAACATGTCGATGTGATCGTTCAAATGATTGTATTTATCCTGCTGGGATTTATAATCAAACACGATCTATCGTTCCAAATGAAGTCTTTTCACTTGATAAATTACCTCTATTCATAATACCAGGATTTCAAGTAGGATGTACACCCCAAAATGCATTGTTTCAATCAACATTGGAATGCTTATATAATCAACCATGCTTAGATATAGTGATTTCGTTGACTGATGCTCTTCGTACTGTCGCACCTCTGAATATTTCAAACTCTTTTACAAAATTCAGTCCAACAACAACAATTGCTGTTATTTTTGATAATATAATGATGGATTCTTGGGAGATTTCTATTGATTTCGCCACTTATTTTCAAGCTTGTGCACCTAAAGTCTGTTCACATTCATATGTACAAAGGTTTTTTCTTGTTTACATGATTACAACCATTGCTAGTGTCTTTGGCGGACTTACCGTAATACTCCGTTTCGTATCTCCGTTGTTTGTCAAATTTATTTTACGTTTATGCCGCCAACAAGTACGAATGCTAGAAAATAATGAACGGCGTGAACCAAAAAGCAGTAAAATCAATCTATACTTATATATATATGTATTTCTCCTGTTGTATTTTTTTCTTTCCATAGGTTTGCAAGGGCGTATGTGGAGTTTCTTTCAGCAAATTAGTCAAAAAGCTATTACATTGGATCTATTCAAGGACACTTTCACTCATGTTCAACTTGGTGTTTATTCTACTCGTCTCTATATCTTATTATTGATATTTGGTATTTACATTTTGATCATTTATTCTACTTCAATAGTTGTTTCAGAACAAATCATTATCAGAAATCCAAGCCAGGATCAATTCGAGTATCTTCATGATGTGTATTCATCAGTTTTAGAATGTTCATGTCGTAATTCATCGATACCACGATCATCATTCATATTTAATGAAGTGCAAATTCATCCATTTTGTACAAGTAGTTTTGTTCGTGACGATCGTTGGTTTCAATATTGGACAATGAAATTTCTCAATGGTAGCATTGATCCTAATCCACCATTTTATTGGAATGATTTTCGCAAGAATGGATGGAAATTTTTTAATTATGTTAAAATATTATGTGACTTCGCCAATACAACTTTGTCTGAAATAGTGAATTCGTTTTATGAAGAGCCATTTTTCTCTTTTCAACCTATTTCCCGGGTAGTATTCAACGAAACAGCTCATAATTGGGAAATATCTTTTCAAAACGAGGTAGAGTATAATGAAAAAAGAGACCTTAAAATCAGATTTTTTCTACAGTTTTGAGCATCGAAATTCGAAGGTTTTCTCATACTATTTCTTAGTATTCAAAAAATATCTATGATGATGTTGATCTTCTAGAGAAAGAGAACGAAACAGAGGTAGAGAAATCTGGAAAAGCAAAATACTATTACTCTAGTGTCACTGAAAATAACTTGTATGATTATATCTTTTATGTAGCTTACCAATAAATACCGGTCTATATTCAATCCGCTGCAACAAAGTATTCAACAGAGTGGTTCGATTTCATTTGATTTTATTGATCCTTCAGTGGTAGCCAGGCGGATTAATAACACATGGATTCTCCGGTATGCTTCAGGTAACTCTAACAACTATTTTCATCAGCCATGCGATTGTAGCCTAAGTTACTATTGTTTAAAACCATTGGGTTTCTATTGCTATTCATCGTCGTGTACACAAACGAATGCTGCATTAAATCAAAATATTCCTGGCCTATACCTTGGTTGTCAAATTTTAGATTTTGCTCAATCGAAACTAGAATGTTTTTATAAAGAGTCATGTGTTCAGATGTTAATTGATCAACGTCTTCATGGTTATGAAAATATCTATTTGCCTATTGATTTAAGTTATATAACAGCACTTAATTCCAATGATGGCGACTTTTATAAGCCTGACCACCCTTTAGAAATTTTGGCATCAATGGGTTTTGTTAATGAATGGATCTATATAGGAAATTATACATTGTATTATGATCAATGCCAGCCAGAGATATGTACTTATACAATAGATAATACACTATATTTAATAGCTCGTGTTAACTTAATTATTGGTCTGATTGGAGGACTAAATGTTCTTCTTCGTCTCTTAGTTCCATCATTGATTAAAATTATCTATTTGATTTATCATTTGTGCTATCATCGAACACGAAGTAAGAAAATATGTTCTTCAATTATTTAATTATCTCAAACTGTTTTAGATATTCGTTTACGTTGGAGAATGGCTCTCACTCATATTCGCGATGAACTTTATCTCATAAATGTATATCGAAGAAAATCACAAGTAGAATATCAACATTTAGCCACAAGAATCTACATTGTTCTACTTGTTCTATCTTTCATTAATGTTTCAGTTTTCGTGCGGTTTCAGTATCGGATAGTATTGATAAGCGTAGATTCACCAAATGAAACTTATTTTTCACATCTTCACAGTCACTATTCTGATAGTTTATCATGTCCTTGTACAACTATAACTATTCCTCTTATAAATTTTGCATCAGTCTCATTCGAAACACAAGAAGCCTGCTCTCAGATAATGTCGCAACCGCCTTTGACAATAAGACTATTACCAGAAGACATACTCTGGGAACAATACGGTTGGAATCTCATACAACCACAAATGCGTACCCTCTTTTATCGATGTATGTTCTCAACGTTAACTTCACAAGCGGCGAGTGCCACTCTTATTAATGCAGGTTTGACATCAGTTGAAGCATTGACCTCAGAAACATTTTATGTATTGTTCAACTCGTTCATAAATGGAATAGATAAGAATTCTGTGATCTCAGGAGATAATATTTATAAATCGATTTCTGATATTCTTCAAGCAAATCAATTTCATAATCAATATATGACAAGCTGGAGAATAGAATTTTCGAACGCAGATGAAAGCTATATTCTTCGTAACACGCCAATTTCATTGAACAATGGTAATTGTTATTGTCCAAGTGGTAAATCCAACTGTACAAAGACAGTTATCTATTATAATTCAATTAGTAATTCAAATGTATTGCCAGGTAAACACTTTAATCAAGCTTTCTCTACGCTCTTATCATCATATATTGACACATTGAGATTTCGAAAACGGTCTATGATTAAAAGATCATAGTTGAAGACCTAAACTGATTATCATTGATAGTTCCATTTATTTAGGTTTTGTGATTGGATGCTCAATCATGGATGGTCTTTCACAGTCAACATTTGAATGTTTCTATGATAATATTTGTGCCAATCAATTAAATACAGCTTTTGGTCACTCATTTACTAAGTTTAATCTTGGTGAAACACAGTTTCCACCAACGACTCCAATTGGATCGATTCTAGATGAGTATTCTATTGTATCATCTAAGTTTTCAGCTAATTATTCTGCATATTTTCAAATATGTGCTCCATCAACATGTCAATATCGTTATAGGGAAGAAAATGGTGTTGTTTACGTATTCACAACACTGCTTGGATTGTATGGTGGATTAACTGCATTCCTACATATTTTTGTGTGGTATTTATTAGATTTTTATCGATTCATTGTCAATCGTTCTCCGTGTTTGTTGCAACGTGTACATCCTTCGACCTGAATTCGAATGAACCACTTATCATATGAACAATGCTTCTTATTCAACTCATTAAAAATAATATTTAATACTCGATGTTGTATGCCTTCTCTTGCTTTTGTCAAGCATCAAATTTAGCAATCACGATTACTATTGTTGCTTTGCTTTTATTCGATTTGTTTTTCATGGCAAAAAAATTACTTGTGTTCATTCAATAAGAAAACTTATTTGTATTTTAGCTTGCTATTGTACTCAATATCTATCGACATCAATTAGAATCAGATCAGAGTAATCATATAAATGGCATAACCATAGAATGATTAGGTGTAGATAATAAATTGAACAAATATAAGAATTTTTATTTAACTAGTCCTACTCTTCATATGATATTTGATTTAGTAATCAATGATATATACAAATTTATTAGTTATCGTATATATCATTGATCACTTCGATCCTTATTAGTCTATTCAATTTCTTCTAGAAGAAATTAAAATTTTAAATTTTCCTAAATATGTAGTATCAACTTTATTAGTTTTATATTTCAAAAATAAAAAAAGTCAAACTAGGTATTTGAACATGGTTTCGTTCTAGATGAATGACATTTAGTACCACATTGTATTTTTGTTTTTCAACAATAATATTTTTTTGTTGAACAAGCGCCATTACAGGCACATTTTCCAGCAGGATTAATTAATCCTGCACTCACATAAGCTTTACAGACTTGAATGAATGTCATTGGTCGTAAAGTTGTTAAATCAACATTACGCAAGTCACGAAAGTTACAGTTAGATCAATTTAGTAGGTCTAAAGCTTGGAACCGTGAGGAGTTGATAGCTGTTGCTATACATAATTCATAAGTGTCGATATTGTTTGATGCTGATTGAACGGATATAATCTTACATAGTAGTACTTTAGGTGTAACATTTATTCTTTCCACTTTATCGATTTTTGCCATATAGGCAGATTCAGTCTCACATTGTATTTTGTGTACGATTAGAGACTGGCGGAACATCAACCAGATCAGATTCTTCATCTGAAGAAATGATCATGTAAAAATTTCTCTTAGAACAGCACATCTGATTACTTTACTTTTGTAGATAGATGTAACTTGATTGTTGGCAAACAGTCTAGACCGTCTTCTTTTTCCGGTGCGAGGAGACATGAATTATCAGTGATGGTGATGACGACAATGATAAGTTTGATGTTGTGGCTTCAACAACATTTGTCCGATTGTCACATTCGTTTAGTTCACGAATAAAATTAGGTGGACTTTCTTCCTCATTCAGAGCACCTTGATCTGGCAAAATTCGCCACATTTCCATATCACACCTCGGTTTCTGACCGAAAACTTCTTCATGAGGAGATTTTTTGATCGTCTGAGCTAAACTACTTGTGCTAAGCCTAAATTTGGACAATCGTTTGGAAATCTTTGCTAATTTGTTCATCTATTTATCTCTTGACTAATTTTTACGATTATTTGATTGCATCCATTTTTCAAGCGTTGATTCAAGCTTTTGGTTTTTTCTTTCAACCAAGCCTTGGTTCTAAGGATGACGAAGTCGCCTATTGATATTGATGAGATCAGATCAGGTGTTTTTCAAATCCTAGTCAAAGTGAAAGAATCTTTGAAATAGTACACCAGAAACCAATGATAGAATTATTACTTTTATAACTTGTGTGACGAATTCTTTATCGTTGTCGAATTGAAGAATTCGTGGTGCTCCAAATGAACAATATTGTTGTAGCAGTTTTTAAGCAACATAATCTGCCTCCTTGGGCTGTGATGGATAAGCCTAGGAAAAGAACGGGGCCGCATAAGAGGCCAAATCGGCCCATTAGGAATTGTTCGGGATAACCCTATTAAATCATACATCATTTCAAAGAGCAAGTTAAAATGAACATTTTGATGCTATTTTCATGGGGTTTCGATCGAATTTTTGAAGCGAAAAGCTATTTACAAAGTTGCTCATTTTTGGGCACTAATCTAATAATCGATCATATCCATGGTCGACCCAGTTTTGGTATAAGTTGATATGGAAAAATGGTTGTGAAATCAAGTATTTGATAGCTTCTTGATGGGGCTTTAGTTCTATATAAGAATTAATAGTTTCTTGTTCGATTCAGTCAGAACACGGCCTGACATATTATTAGACACTGTTGACATATGGCTCATATTGATCACTAACTTTTATCTTTCAACGCATATTTTATCGAAAAAATTAAAGGTACCAAAATTCTGGTATAGTTCATTCGATAGCGCTTTTCAAAAGCTACAAAATCGTATATTTTATAAAGTCTAAAAAATCTGGCCCCTATGAAAATTTTCAACCAAAACATGCTAGGGGTATGATTTATGGCCATTTTTCACTCATAATGTACCTATGGTTTTTGAAAAAGTACGGCTATGAGTTCAAACTAATGGCAGATTCGGATTCAGCATTGAAAACTGAGTGGACTTATATATACCCGAAATCTGTCTGATGACTTTCATTTTTCTCGAAAAATTCACCCGTACTCCCCCTCAGGGAAAAATTATTCGAAAATACCTTGAGGAGGGGTACGGGTGAATTTTTCGGGAAAAATAAAAGTCGTTGGGGGGATTTGGAGTATATATAAGTTCACTCAGTTCTCGATGCTGAATCCGAATCTGACATTAGTTTGAAGTCATAGCCGAACTTTTTCAAAAACCATAGGTACATTAAGAGTGAAAAATGACCATAAATCATACCCTTAGCATATTTCCGTTGGAAATTTTCCTAGGGGCCAGATTTTTTAAACTTTAGAAAATATATGATTTTGTAGCTTTTGGAAAGCGCTATCGAATGAACTATACCAGAATTTTGGTACCTTTAATTTTCCTGATAAAATATTCGTTCAAAGATAAAAGTTAGTGATAAATAAAGACCGTACGTCAACAGTGTCTAATAATATGTCAGATCTTGTTCTCACCGAATCGAACAAGGAACCATTCATTCTTATATAGGACTGGAGTCCTATCAAGAAGCTATCAAATACTTAATTTCACAACCATGTTTCCTTATCAACTTACACTAAAACTGGGTCGACCATGGACATGATTAATTATTGAAATTGTGAGAAAAAATGAGTAACTTTGTAAATAAATTTTTGCTTCAAAAGTCCAATCGAAACACCATCAAAATGTTCATTTTAACTTGCTCTTTCGAATGATGTATGATTCAATAGGACTATCACGGAAAATTCCTAATGGGCCGATTTGACCTCTTATGCGCCCCCGTCCTTTAGTGAAATGATCGTTTGTGTGAAAAATCCATTTCTATTCACCATCTGAAAGCCTCATCATATCTATCAATGTTAAATCTATTTGGAGACCAATGAGATATCCAATAAATGCGATAAGTTTTTCTTAAATATAAAACACATACCATGGCAATGATAATTCTCCAAGGGGGAAAACACGTACTCCCGTACTCCGAGTACAAGGGAGTACATGGGAGTACATGGGAGTACAAGGGAGTACAAGAGAGTACAAGAAAGTACAAGGGAGTACATGGGAGTACAAGGGAATGCATGGGAGTACAAGAAAGTACAAGGGAGTACATGGGAGTACAAGGGAGTACAAGGGAATACATGGGAATACAAGGGAATACATCGGAGTACAAGGAAATACATGGGAGTACGTAGGAGTACAAGGTAACACATGAGAGTACAAGGAAACGCAGCGAACGTAATAATGTACCACAAATCGACCCCAAATATATCTCGAAAAAGTATTGCACGATTGATTTTTTTTTCTTTTGTTGATTTCTAAACGACCTCGAATCAAGGGGGAAAACACGTACCCCCGTACTACGAGTACTCACGGAGTACAGAGAGTACATGGGAGTACAACGAACGTAATAGTTTATTCCGAATATTTTTTGAGAAAGTATTACAAGACTGGTTTTTTCCTTGTTTTAATTTTTAAGCGACCTCGAATAATAGCAAGGGGGAAACAGCACTCCGGGATCTCAGATACTCCGATACTTTAGCTGGTACTCCGGTACTTCGGATCGTACTTCGCATCGTACTCCAGCAGCTAAGACATGCTTTGTGTTGTTCGCAATGGACATTTCAGTGAGAATCTACCATCTTCCATCATGTGTCTCAGCAGTATAATTCAAATTATCAACTTTACTCTTTGCGTTGGATTTCAGCTTGGAGTACTAGAGTATCGTCGAAGTATCATCGGAGTACTGGAATACGAGCCGGAATATCGAAGTATTATTGAAGTATCGCAGTATGAGAGTCTCAAGTCAGTAGCCAATAGCTGTAATTCCCCCCACACTTCATTTCACGTTTGAGAATCATAATGATCGAAAAGAAGCAACGAAGTAATTAACTGTAGACACCTCAAAACGGGTTCACCCTTTGGTATTTCCGCCAAACTCAGATACTTCGGGCCTACTCCAATACTCTGACAAATACTCCGATACTTCGAGTCATACTCCATACCTAATTTTGTTATTCTGAGTCTTGTTGCGATTCTCGTAAGCCGACTCCGATGCTTTTAATACGTGTTTGGCACTTTTGATGGATCCGAAGTCAGCCGTTTTCCCCTTGAATAATAGATTGTTTAGTAGACAAAGCAACTAGGATGGTATCTAGTGGACGAGACGTCGCATTCATCTTTTTCGTCTTTCTTATAGTTGAACTCTAGGAGAAAAGGGGGATTTCAAAGATTCTGGATCCCTGAGAGTACAATGGGAATCCTTGAAATCCCGGACGTACGATGTATCTTATAGAGGTATTCATAAGTCCACATGGGCTCTCTTATGGAGGTACCCATAAGTCCTCATGAGCTATCCTATGGGAGTACTATAAGCAAGGGGAAACAGTAGACTTCCGTACTCCACGAGTCCCTGGAAGTTCCTAGGAGTTCCAAGGACTCCCAAGAAATCTCAAAGAGTTCCAAGGAGTCCCATAAAATACAGGAGCGCAGCTCTTTACACATTAGTTTCTTTTCATTAGTGTTTAACCTTTGATCTCAACAGTCAGACCAG